TCTGCACAACCAGCGTTTGTACGCTGGTTGTGCAGAAGTGATGAACCGACACGAGATACCATGCAATATTGCTGGAACAGTGGAAGCATTTACAGGGTAGGAAAACAAGACATCGAAAAACCCACATCATGTCTCGCTGTCGAAAAATGGGAAGGTATAACCTGTGAAGCTTGTCCAGGCTGGAAAGCATCCAACATCTGCGCACATGCGTTGGCTGGTAATACCACTGGCAAAAATGGAGGAAAGGCATCTATAAGGTCAGGCGTAAGGGTGGTAGGACAGCAACAATGATAGATTCAACATTTACAAAATTTTCCAAGTCAGTGCGCACCAACAATTCCACAAATGGTTTTATCATTAGCACCGCCCGTTGCAACTTCAATCCCTGGATTACCTAGTCCAACAACAGGGGCATTTGTGGTTCAACTATCTTGCCATGGTTGCTGATAACCTTTGAAACCCGAAGGCTGTGGTATTCCTTGCTTACCATATGGTGATTGTTTTCAAGATACCCAGAGGCTCTCGTCCATACCCGACTGTAGTGATTTTATGCACAGAGTAGCAAATGTTTATTTTCATGTAATTGAATTGCATCAGATTGAAGCAGCCGTATTTTGTTCCTCGTACAGCAGTTTTGTCAAGTTCTGTAGCACAATATTTAAGAGCAGAACACTTATAACTGTTGAGAGAGTTTGGTTTACAACTCTAAGTTTAGTTGAAATCAGCACAAGTACTGATCACGTTATGTTCATGTAGAAAAATAGTTATGTTGTTGCCAATACGGTGTATCAGTGGAAAAATGGAGAACATCCCTTTAAGAACCCTTAATTTTCGAAGGAAGGCTGGAATGGATGTCTCGTGTCTCTGAGTGAGAAATCAGATTTTTAAGTAAGCTAGATTCTTAAACAAAATCGTACAAAAGCTAAACATTATCTATGTATTCAAAATATGAGAATGAGTATCTGTTGCTTACTCTGTATGAGGCATACATGTAATGCACTCTGCATTAGGCATACAAAATGCAATCTGTGACGAACCACAACAATATGAAGGCATACATGCTACAAAATTAATGCATTCTGAGGAGTAAATTAAACCACAAATGCAATCATCTTCGTTCCCAGGCTTTTTAATTGCAATCAAGGCATACAAGTCATAAGTGGAATCTGCAAGTTATACAAACCACTATAAATACAGTCTGTGATACATACAAACCACATGCAATGTGCAAGGTATACATTTCACATGCAGATACATTCTGCAAGTTCCAAATACGTTAATTAATCCTTGACCCCAGCATGAAATCTCATGAGTTCATATCCTTGTCTTAAATTTCTGTCATATTCATGCAAGTGTAATAGTGAGAGTATTACTGTCAGGCATGCAGATGGAAACCCTGTTGCCACACAGCACAGTATGTGACTGGTACACCCTGCATGTGTAGCAGGGTACCTTCTCACTTTTGGGTGAGGGGGGGGGGAATATTTTGTCAGCCCTTACACAACTAAGAAGCGCAATGCAGCTGAAAGTTAACAGGTCGGTTCTCAAAAATAAGCCCTGCTTTCTATTATCCCCTCTTCAACAGCTAGGCTCGTTGATGTTATTTAGTGCCTGCAAACAAAATTCATAACTAATTCAGAATGTAAAATGCGTCGTATTTTAGGTTTTGAGAACTGAATATTGTAAAAATGTCAGAATATTTCAAAATTGCCTGCGTACAGCGCTTGCACGCTCACGCATTTTAATGATGCCTCCCTTGAACGTCGCTCAAATAAGTAAGTAGAGAATTTATGGTCTCATCCATACTTAAATTTATTCATTTTATCGCTTTCCATATAGTCATAAAGAAATGAGTCTAACTGACCTACCACCAGAAGTACTGCTTACAATATTTTTATATCTGAGGACCAAGTTTGTATTGAACACTGTAACACGTGTGTGTAAATTATTTTATCATATTATTACACCAGAAGCTACATGGAAAACAAGGTTTAATAAAATCTGGCCAAGAAGGGTAACAAATGATTCAGATTGCATAATCCCAAGGTTAGTGTAAAATTGATTTTTATAGATTAGTATATGACTGAGAATTTTTCGAGATTCTGGATGCACTAAAATTTCCGGATCTGAGTATATTCAAATACGGTAAACCATTTACACTACAACAGTATGAAGACAGGCCACAAATTTAAGGCTTCACATAAAATAATTTACTACAGTAGATTAGTTTAAGTTAATATTCCTTGTTAATAAATGTATTTAATAAACTCTTAAAATTAGGTATAGCACGCGCAGAAAATACTTGATTATATAGTTATAAAAGGTTGCGGATTTGTTGAGGTAACCGTTTTACGTTTACATGTCGAATTGTCACTATAATTCACCAACGTCTCAAACTGAGATGATTTCCTTTGGACTCGTCGCTGCGTTTGTAAACGGCAACATGAATCTGGTGCTGAAATGTTTCATTCGTGTTGAATCAGGTGCATGTAACAGGAAATATGCCCCCCCAAAAAGGAATAATGGCTCCCCCAGCCCACATTTCCTGCCTGGTAAATATGTACATTTCCTGCCTCGGGGATATGTGTTTATTCACCTCGGCGCGCCTCGGTGAATAAATCACATATCCCCTCGTTGCCTCAAAATAACGTACTTATTTTTCACACTGCGAGGTCGCGTTAACGAGTCAGAAAAGAAATAATTCTTAATGCCATATTGCCTTCGCGATGTTGTTTTTTCTCATTTTTTGTGCTGCAAAGACATTGCAGGTGAATATTAGAGGGGATTATTAATTGCAGGTGAATATTAGAGGGGATTATTAAACGGAAATTGATTAGAGGGGAATATTGAATATATTCCCCGACAAGAACAAAGGAAACCGAGCAGGGTGAAAAATAAGTATAGGAGGCATATTTAG